CATTGTCTGGCAGAGTGGGGTGTTTGTAATAGATATTTGCATTTGTCTTTCATTGTTCGTTTTGGCCGATTTTTGTGCCAGATTGCTGCGGTTTTTCCTTGAAATACTAATCCCGAAATAGACAAAACAAGCATTTAGACTGTCACAAGAGAATACGGTATATTTGAAGCTCAATTGAAGCCATTTTCCTTATACGACATTTTACAAATTGTCAATCTTGAACCGAAAACCACGGTGGCCGACGGGTGCAAACACACTTTCGAAAATAATGAAAATATAAAAACACAAATGTGCCAAAACACATGCAGGTGAAGAAATATCTTCACCATCTTGATGACACAGGCGCACCATTTATTAAAGCTGCCTAAAAAAAATGCGGAAAAAGCTGGGACTGGATCGCTTGTTGACGTTATGGGATTATCAAGATAGCAAACTGTCACTGTTGGCAGAGTAAGTCTGTTTCATAATTGTAAAGTTGTATCAGTATATTTGAAATGACTAGGTTAGCTACGTTAGCTAGCTTACAGCAGATCTGCAATAATATCACAAGGAATCATGTGATCACAAGGGCAAAGAAAATCATTTCTGACCCCTCCCACCCAGGTCACCATGTCTTCCAACTTCTGCCCTCAGGGGGGCGCTACAGGTCACTGTCCGCCAAAACCGCCCGCTTCAAAAACAGCTTTTTCCCCTTTGCAATACGGACACTAAATGGACTCTAAATAACCCCAATGAACAATAACAATCCACCACACCTTGAACTTTATGTTATATGTCTTTGCCCTGTGCTGTGTGTTGTACTTTTTATTGTCTGTTTATTGTATGTTGAATTGTATGGAACAAGCTGTAATACTCTGCACTGAACACGAATTCCACCAGCCTGGCTGTGTGGTCATTAAAGATTCTAATCTAATCTAATCTAATCTAATTGTTAAAATTAGCCGATAAAATTTATATTTTACGTACGTTTTCCAGTGACAGTGACAGTCAGTGTTAGACTCCCAGAACATCAACAAGCGCTCGATCTGGTCCCAGCTGTGGTTTCAGGGTTAGGGTTGGTTTTAGGTTTTTATTGTCCCCGTTTCCATCGTGTTTGCAGCGTTTGATTTATGCAGCTATGTCGCTAAATGCTGCGCATGTTTCGTCAAGTTGGTGAAGTTGAATTTGCGTGTGTTTTGGCTCATTTTTACATTTGCATTGTTTTCGAAAGTTCAGCGCTGTTTTGGGTCGTCGTAGTGCGTTTGCACGGGTCAGCCACCATACCAAACTCTGCAATAAGATATCCCCCGTGGAAGATTATTCACACCATCCTCTCTTCTCTGTAAATGAAGCAACAATGACTCAGCAGACATATATGTAAAAGTGGGGCTTGTGCAACCATGATATCTGTCGTTATGGTGACCACAGACTTTGAATTGTGTTTGTATGTTATTGAGACTTATTGCCAACTTCAGCCGAGAGCGGGGCAAGCCTGGGGGGGTTAATCCATAATTGATCACCTCTGCTGAAGTTGGATGTGTTTTTGTTCCATACTGCCTGCTCATTTGTCAGTTCCAAGAATGTTAACGCATGTGCATTACAAAGCTGGAAACATTGATGACAGGCTTTAGAGCTTTGGGGTGAATGGGTGATGTGGTGCATGGATCACTGGTGATTAAAATACTTGGAGATGAGTTATGTAGAGGGGTTTTCCGTGACAAAGAGTCTCAAAGGTTGGTGAGATAAGGATGCACTGAAACGAAGAACAGATCTAGTTGGTTTAGCAATCATGTTGAGGAGTAAGGGATTAAATGTAACAGGATTATGTCATCAGCATACAAAAAAACTGTGTGCTGTATACATGTAATCATATTGCTGTTACATTTCAAAAGATTGGGGATAATAAAAAATCAATAACAACTCTCATGATGAACATGTGAGACTTACTTTAGGACATTTCACTGCCTGAAAATACCATAAGTAGACCACACTGCGTTTCCTGTAAGCAAAACAACCTAATTTAAAGTCAGGAGAGTCAGTTTCATCATGAGTTCAAAGATACGAGGAGCCTCCCTCATCCCTCTATGCTCTTCCTTCCTCCATTAAAGGACCCTCCATATCTGTCATCTTTATGGTTGAATGATGAAGCTGCAGTTACTGTAACTTATCTGTTACCATGATGGGAAATGGATTTAATAAACTCCCCAGTGCCCATGTTCCTTCTTCTTTCATGTCTCTGACTCAGTGATGTCTTTATCATCACTATATTTTTCAACATTGATATGCTCCACACACTCCTCCTCTTCTTCCTCCTCCTCTCTTCCGCTCTGTTGAGATCAAAGCTAGGCTCAAGGCTAGTGGACAGCGTGAAACCGTCTCCACTGTCCCATTACACACACTCATTTAAAGCTGGGGTAGGTCGTTTTGGAGAAACCAGCTCGAGTGCGCTAGAATTAGAAAATACACAGCCGGAAGAAATCTGCCACTTCCTTACAGAGCCCCTCCTCCAACACACACGAACGCGCACATGACCAATGAGGGCACGAGATAAGTTTGTGCACAGATGGAAGGCTGACAGGCAGGTAGGCCATCCAGTTACTTTAGCCGGGCCGGCTCAGATGATTGGTCGTGCTTTTTACAGTACTACGGCTTCCATAGATGACTTTTTTTTATGGATTTTTTGTCAAAACACTTAAGATATTCATTGCTATCGGGATGTTAAGAGCATTCCATGGAATATAACAAAAAGTGTATCTCGGGCCGGTTGTCTGGAACCTTTTAGGGATGTGCACAGTCACCTTTTTAACTGGAGTTTAATAGATTCACCTGTGGAGATTTATAAGACAAATTAGAAATAAGGATCATTTATCAAGGTGACGATTAAAATCAAAGGGTGTTGAGTTTCCTTGTTAAATCCTTGAGATGGCAGCCTTTGCAGACCATGTACATCCACGAAAACCTATATAACACACTACAGGAAAGGGAAAACCCCCAAAAGTTGAACTTGGTTTGACGCAGGAAACAAATGGGGTGAAGATCTATATTTCTTTGACCAATTCATCACCGGATGATTTGGTCTTTGATTAGAAATGATTTGCCAAAAGCCATCCCTAAAACGCAATTACAAATAAAGTCTCATTTTAGATCAGGCTTTCCTGACACAAGAAAAGCTCTTATAAACAAACGACACGCCCCCGGCCAAGCACAAAAAAGCAAGATGACAAAGTTAGCAACTAGCTTGTGCATATATTGGAGCATTTGAATGTAAGTGAAAATTGGGAAAGGCGACCAGGGACATTATTTCAAGGAGTCTGCAGGATCCTTCACTCAAACAACTGTTGAATGGTCTGGGAAGACAGGATGGACTTTTTAGTATTCAGGGAGCCGTTTGTAACGTCAACTCATTTTGTTGAACTTTTCCTCCCCTCACAGCTGCATTTTCTGGCCTGCTGCACCTCCGTGAGCTGGACCTCTCCAACAATAGCCTCCACTACTTCCAGTACGGTGTCCTGGAGGACCTCTACTTTATACGGAAGCTGTCGTTGGACAACAACCCCTGGATCTGCGACTACAACATCCACTACCTGAACTACTGGCTCAAGCACCACCCCAACGTCTTCCACTCTGGCCTGATCTGCTCTGAGCCGGCCGGAGTTCAGGGGATGGCGCGTCGAGAATTACGTCAAGACCTACAACAGTGAATGTCCCAAGGATAGACAAACTGGAGGGGGGGATACAGAACAGGGAGGACAAGGGGGCACAAACAATGAGGCAGTGGGGGAGACGGGTGAGGGGCAGGAGGAACGTCAGGAGAGGAAGCAAAAAGGGATTGAGATAATCAGGCTAAGTTAGAATGGAGGGTGATCGCGGACTGGTGGAGGTTATAGGGGTGTTTGATTAAAATGCAGTCTTTGGAGAGGATGAATAGTTAATTATTAAAGGTAGACTCAGTGATTTGATGTTTAAACATGATGTGTAAAAGTACAATCTTGGGATAACATCCATTGTCTTGTTAGTAGTCAGCTTTTTCCATCTTATTTTAGGACACTTTCGACATTTCCTTTAACGAAGTACTATTGCTAAGTTTACCTTTAAACAAAAGTTAGGAGATGCTCTTTGAGCTTTTGTTTCATCTTTTTGCAAAACATTTTCAAACCAGTCTGTATCAGATCTAAAACTCCCAACCAGGACATCTTTTTGAATTTCCCACACAATGAACTACAGCAGCTCTCCTTGTTATTCTGTTACAATCATTTTAATAATGAGTTTAGGATATACTTTTTTTTTCTCTTTTTAAAAGAAAACCTTTTTGTATTAATTAATGTACGGCATTGTCTACCTGTTTCTGGAAATAAAATTGGGTTTATTTTTTCTGAATATAAGTCTTATGGCCTGATATCAGACCTTAACATTATGATGGAAGATTGTTTGCATTTGACATGACAATAACTTACTCCTGAAACTGCCAACATATACAAAGATCTATGCACCTATGAAAATAATCTAGATAAAGGCGGGAAACAACGTCTCACTGATTATCGACTAGCGCCACCCAGTGTGCTGGAGACCAAACACACCAGACAACTTTGTTTAATTTTGGAAGTCTGGAAGTAAAAGCAGTAATACCACAGTGTAGAAATACTCAAATCATAATACGGAATAATACATCAGTCTTTTAATGACCCAAACTGAGATTATAAAACGATATTATGTGTTGCTTGTGAGTATACTTATTTCACTCACATCTTAATAAAAAAAAGTCTTAAAGCAAATTAGTGGGAAATAAAATGAGTACCAAATTCTGGATTGGTATATAAATCAGGCCTGCCAATTTGGCATCTGACACAACCACATAATCCTTCCTGGATGTCCGCCTTTGTCACCTCAGCTATAAGCTTGACTTTAAGGTTCGCAGGAAGTCATTTTGGCAACGTTTAAATGTAACGGTAATTTAAAAAGATTTCCTGTTTACTGGGCTGCATTTAAACGCAGTTAATTGTTTCTGAGTGCAGTCACAGATGTTTTAAGTTACATGTTATTTATTGTCTAGACTAGAGCAATGAGCTATGTGTTACAGCACACTGCCATCTAGTGTTTACTATTTAGTAGTACACAGGTAGAGTTAAAGAAGACATTCACAGCCTTTTATATGAATCCATGACAATGTAAGACATCATGATGTCACACATATTGATAATTCACAGTCTTTTGGCTCGCAGCAGCTTCTCCAGGACGTTTTCGTCTGGAGCTCAGCAGCAGCAGAGGATCACATCTCGTCATACCGGCACCACAAGAGGTCACTTGGGTGAAATACTCACTCATATATGCAGTTATTACATGTTATAGTCTATCCCGGATTGTTAGGATGCTTGGAATAGTTCGTTTGTTGATATCTGCATCAATATTGTTAGCGCAACCTTTAAAATCATTGGATTAACAATGAAACAATCCAAGTATAGCTGATATAAATAAGATTGGCTTGCTGTAACTTTACCCGCTGTTTCTTAATTCCCCATTACTTAACATGCCAACTATTTTCCTGTAGCATCAGCTGAACAATAATGTATGCCTAGGTAAGCTACAAAAAAAGTAAGCAGAAATAATTTGTCCATAGTTATTAAAACGTCCTGAATCCAAGGGTTCTTGAGGCCAGCCTTATTCCATCAATGCATCTGTTCTTCTCTCTCCATAAGTGTCCTTGCCCACTTCCCTGTCCTCTCCACGTTGTGATCAGCAACATGTCTTCTTCTCTGGTGGAGTGTGATCAGTCATGAGACCATTTATCGGCCTAGAGTTGGACCGGAGGAGGACTCGAGGCGTGTTGTTCCTCTCCGAGTCCTCCTGCTGGACATTGAGGCCGTTACGAGACAGCAGCTCTCTGGCCATCATGATGAACGCTTCATCCACATTCTGACTCTCCTGGAAACAAAGAAGGAGATAGAGAAGTTGAGATAACAATTGTAACCAATTTATCATCGTTACATGTATGTGTGCACTCGTTACCTTGGCTGATGTTTCCAGAGCAGCTAGTATTTCTTTCTCCTTTGATAGATTGCAGGCATCCTCAAACTGAACCTGCCTTTCCTTCTCCAGGTCACATTTGTTACCTACATGGAGACAATCAGGGAGATGAGAGATACACATACAATAAATCTAACCTTAAACACCCAATAGGAGTCTGTAGCAAGTCCTGTTAATGTTATTAACAATGTACCCAATTACTGCAGTCTGCTAAGGCTAACATTTCAACACACTTAAGTGGGGATGACCCACTTAACAGGGTTGTAACATCATTTGTCTAAGTACCTTTGTGTTAGCACTCTCACATTTGGACACAAAGGATCCTTATTTGAAACTATAAATTGCAATGTGTCCCATCTTCTCAAACAACATCACAGAGTTCAATCATTAAAAATAAATAAACTCAATAACTTTCACCGTATAACCAATTGATCCACTTACTTGATGCTGCCATATTATGAATTCATATTATTCACTTCACATACTAACACTCACCTATGAGAACCAGCACCACATTGTTTGCTCCATAGATCTCCACCTCTTTGATCCAGTGAGTCACAGAGTCAAAGGTCCCCTGTCGAGTGATGTCATAGGCGATGATGGCTCCGTGTGCGCTGCGGTAGTAGCTCTGAGTGATCGTCCGAAACCTCTCTTGACCAGCCGTGTCCCACACCTGCATCTGTAACACACACACATGTTAACATCCCTTTAGGGGACCTTAGGATACATTGACAGTCTTTTTTTTTTTTAGACAACCCTAACCCTAATTACAACTCACATAACCCTTACTTTACCCTTAACCTAACCTTAACCGTAACTTAAAATAAGTCTTCATTCTTAAATGTGACAATTAACGTGCATTTGTGCCCAAAAGAAAGGCGGGTCCCCACATTGTGATTGTGTATACATACGTATGTCCCCACAACATGAGTAAAACATGCGTACACACACACCAAAAAAAACGGTGTCAGATTAGTTGTGTCCCTCGACAGAATATTCCCTGAGCATCTGACAGACCATGTTTACGCGGTTACAGCTGTCATAGCAACCAATCTGAGCTCTCTGGCACAGCCTTAGCAATGCCAGTGTTTATGGTTTCAACTGCCTACTTCTGCTTTTGAATCATAGCATCATTTGTATATAATAAAAGCTGAATATGATCCTATAAAATACACTTTGGTATAACCTCCTTTGGATTGTTGGTGGCGGAGGGATGAAGTTAACACGGAAACAGAAACCTATCATTGTTTGAATTCATTTTAACCCTGAAATCTTTACTTTTACAACCTTATTGTGACCTTATGTTGTGACTCAAGACTGTTCTTCACCTTGTTTAGTGGCACATTTACAGATAAACCTAAAGCAACAGATACACAAAGGAGAAATGGTAGCAACTTTGATCATTCTAGGCACCCTAACCTACAGTGCAGGAGTTGGCGGTGCCTGTGTCTTCCCAATGACCAACAATTGCTTTGCACACTAATGAGGAACTGACTGGTTCAAGACTCTGGCAACATACCAACTTTTAAAGCACACAAAACTGGTCGCTGTAAAATCATTTAGTTCCTTTTCAAACTTAATGACGGTTTGGAGAAGTATTTTTGTCTGCACAAAGCTTGAGCAGAGCTACCTGAAAAACCAGTCCTTCATGTAAGCATCTGGTCCGACTAGTTTTTCTGTCCAACTGTAACCAAAGGACAACTCTCACTGTGGTGTCATTTATCCCCAAACCTGAAAAAAGTCCATCACACCACATATGAGTTGCATTTTCTAGATCCTGCCATAGGCTTCTTTTCATTAAATATTGTTACCAAAACAATAGCCTGTACTCTGCTGTTATTGTCGGAGCCAGTTGGCTCTACAACACCCATGATAAGGATCAAGGCATTTAGCCACCATTACTGGAGCATAATCAGGGTTGGTGCAGTGTTGACCTTGTTAAATGTAAGACTCTTTATCCCATATAGAATGAAATGTAACTGGTATCATACAGGGGTCACACAGGGACAACGTTTGAATTACAGTAGGGATGACATGGCCTAGAAATACCTATTACTGTATCACATTATTTGTCATACAATGTGTGTCCCTAAACACTCCACATTCTGTTTAGTACTAACCTTAACTTTCTTCCCCTCGATATCCACGGTCCGTACGGTGAAATCCACTCCGATGGTGTTCTGCTGTCTCTCTGAGAAGATCCCAGACTTAAAATTCTGAACCAAGCAGGTCTTCCCTACATTAGAGTCTCCAATCAGGATGATCTTAAACAGGAAGTCAAAGGACTCATCATGTTCAGGTCCTGAGGTCTCCATGGTGGAAGTACAGTAGAGTAACTGTGGATGTGCTCGCTCCTATACTGTAGACCACTTGGAAGGTGATGGGTTATCGTTATCAATTTCTGTTAAAAATTGTCACCCAAAAAAATGTTACTCCACCGTTTAGTTTAGTTACATTATTCCACATGTAGCCTGTAAAACCAGTTTTAAGTTTGTTGCTGTTCATAGGTTAATGATAATCCATTTACCACACCAGTAAGTTAAAAATTAATTGTAAGGCACACAAACAGCAATCTGGAGGCCTGTTTCAAAGTGGCTAACAATTGTTTCTCCAGCAATTCAGTTTCACTCCCCCCTCTCATGAGCTCTCTCAGCAGGACAAAACTGCCTCAGTCCTTGCTACTCCTCTCAGGTGTTGACCCACTTTGTGGCCTGCAGGAAAAGAAACAACACGTACACATCCTTTTTCTTTCTGGTTAGTTGTCTGTCACAGGTACTTCCTTTTAAATTAAAACAGTTATATCCTTGTGTGTGATGCAGGTTCCTGTCCAGTCCACCTGCTGTTCTGTCACAAGTGTCAGTCCTTTTTCTCTTCCTGTCATCAGTTATTCCAGTTCTTACTCCCTTTTAGCCTCCTGCGTCTCTCACTCTCACTCTCTCTCTACAATGCACCTGTGTGTGGAAACAAAAGGAGGAACCCGCCTTACCTGTTCCTGGAGTGTAGCCCAGCCCCATTAGCACTGTGGGATCTTGGGAAATGCAGTCATTCAGCCAATTAGAATGCATGAACACACTTATAAACACATTTTGGGATGTTTTGATGCTTTGAGAGAACGAGAAAATGAAGTATGTCAATTCTAACAATGCCTAGCTTACATTATGTTGTTATTGTGAGAGACATCGTGGGTTAATCTAAATTAATAAGAAATGGATCAAAGAACTGGGCCTCCCACTGTAATAGGGGCTGTATAAACCAACCAATAGATTTTAAATTAAGTACCAACTGAGGTCACTGAGGTCTTTAAATGATATGACGTCTAATATGTTCATAACAGATGTATGGGTCAATCAAACCTCATAGGCACAATAATACATTTTGTATACAAATATAGTAAAAACCAGGAAAGGTGTTCAAAATGGCCAGAAAATAAAAGAATAATTACACATTCAGCATAGTTTGTGTTTAATTATGTAGGGCACATCTGTCAACACTATATGTGAGTCAGTGAGTCAAGTACTTTTAGATGGGATTTAAACAGGAAGGTATTTTTGGATTCTGGTCAATATGTTTGGAGGATAAGTATTTTTGTACGTTTTTATAAAGCACAAACTCATTGCCAGGCTTGGGGATTAATGGAAAACATGTGATGGAATTACGTAATCAGGACGCAAAAAAGGGAACTGCATCCCTTAAAGTAACATTGAAATATGTAGACTTATATCTGTTACACTAACTTTTATTTTGTAGTCCACTGCCTGGAACAGGTTTACTTACATATCTTTATACATTTCATTCTTTGTCTTAAAATATCTTCTTTATTAATGCAGTAAGAGGAAACTAAAATACAGTATGCTTGATATGCAAGATGTTTTTTCTCTTGTGTTTATTTGCATTGCATTTCAAATTGAGGTCACCAATATATAGGATAATATCTTTATTGATCCCAAATTGGACATTCTTTCGTGACAGCAGCATGTAATACAAGGCAATGCACATACTTAGAAATTAAAAAGAGTAGAAAATAAACAGATATCATATTGACATCTCAAAATAAAATAAAAAAGTAAAAATATACAAGTTGACCATGAAAGATACAACTAAAATGTAAACTATCTGACAAATAAACACTATTGAAGGGCCAAATTACAGCTAACACTACAAGAGTAAGATATTATTTACATTAGGTGTGCAATGATTGGCATATTAAATTAAATATAAATTAAAATATATATAAAGGCCCTCTCCCAGGACGTCTGTCCGTCCTGGGAGAGGGATCCCTCCTCTGTTGCTCTCCCTGAGGTTTCTCCCATGTTCCCTTTAAACTGTGGGTTTTCTCCAGAAGTGTTTCCTTGTACGATGTGAGGGTCTAAGGACAGAGGGTGTCGTATTGTCATACTGATATTCTGTACACACTGTGAAGCCCACTGAGACAAATGTAACATTTGTGATATTGGGCTATATAAATAAACATTGATTGATTGCTTGATTGATTGATAAAACTGATTAGATTTCCCCCCCCAGTTTATAAGTAATTGTAAGGGAATACATGTTTAAAGTAACCCTCCCAACCCTTCCTCTTGCATATCATTATTTCATATATGTTTTTAGTAATCGTTAAAACAACATCATTCCTGGGCGTTTAAACACCTCGATTCCGATATTTCCGACTGCACTTGAATGCGTCACAGACCCCTCACCCAGTGCATCACAGTGACGTCCTGTGCGGATAGACAGATAGATGCCCTTACAGTTGCAATAATAGATCCATAGCAATAATATTTTCTGGATGTGAAAAGGGCGTCTGGAGCCTGGGAGAATCAGCAGCATGCAGCGGAGCGCCGTGTTCGTGATGGCGGATAAAACGAGCCTGAAAAGGCCGTTTATTTTCGCAAAACGCTGTGCATATGGTAGGTACTTCTCACCGCTTTGCATGGGATTTATACTGAGAGGCCTGATTTCCTTATATGGGTTATTTCTCTGATTAAATGTTTGTTATGTGCTGCGATTTGACCCAGATCAGCATAAACAGAATAACACTGTCTGTCTCACAACTGCAGCGAAGCCCATCCATCAACATTAGTGTGTGCCATTCCTGCAGTAGATTGAATGAAGGAATGTTATATACAAATAAAGTGATGAGGAATTTATCATAACTGGTAGTTGTACGAAGAAGACGCCATAGTGGTTATAAATGATTTATGAAATGCATTAGAATAATAATCCTCTGTAATCTCCACCCCAAATCTGTCAGTCTGTATAAATGCTACTGTTTACAATGTGCTGTCTCAGCTGTGAGTATGCAGTCATGTGCATTCAAGGATATTTGTTTATATAACTAAATGTAATATGACAAGACAGACTTAATGTGCTTCCAAAAAAACAAACTAAAAGGATGACAAAAAAAAAGGAATGTATTGATACTATAATAATAATAATAATAATAATAATAGTAATAATAATAATAATAATAATATAGATAAGCAAAAAAAGGATCAGGACGTTTTAAAATGAATGTGCATTGAAGCAATTTCTTATATAACACATTTAATATGACAGATATAGTATAGACTCAATGTGGATTAAAATGTAAAACAAAAACGATGAAACAAACTAAAATATTAAAAAGGAAGGTATTATTTTTTTTTTAATTAAAAAGACAAGATTATAACTATTTGTTTACTATTGTATTTTGTCACTTTCTTTGTGTGTATCCTAATTTGAGTGTATCGTGGATAGCCTTCAATATAACTTTAAAATTCAGTTGATAGGATTAAATAATATTAAAACTAGTGCTGTCAAAATTATCGCGTTAACGGCGGTAATTAATTGTTTGAATTAATTGCGTTAAAATATTTAACGCATTTAACGCATGTGCAGAATGGCCCGCCCCATACGTGCCACCAGTGGCAGCGCCAGGGTATGGCTGGGGTAGGCTACACCCATACCAAGAAATGGCTTAGCCCCACCATGAAAAATGATGTTAAAGGAAGCAAAATAAAGTCTGCCAACTCGCGCGGAGTAAATTGCACAGACAGCAGTTAGTAAGATTGATTTCAGTAGCCACGGTTTTGAAAACTTTTGTCACGTAGTGATCGTCTTCTCAATAGAACATCTTTGATAACGGCGTGGTGTTGTTGCAGGAAGTCCCGACGGAGAATACTTTAGCTGTAGTACAGGGGTGCACATAACTGGTACGCAGGTTATGTGCGTAATCTCTCTGAAATGCGTACCGTCACTTGTGTCACAAAGCGCATTTGCTTACCGATGTACTTGTGAAGCTTTTCCAGAAGGCGGTTAGATCACCGGACGACAGAGTCGGTCTCCGTGTGCACAGACAGGGCTGCTGTTAACGCCGGAACGGAATTGTGCCAAAACTACGCCAACCGGCTGCGGAGGGAGACCCCTCCCCCTTCACAGGAGAACTGCGCTAAAACAGCTGATCACAACGTTCACACTCTGTGGTCACGAAGTACTCCACTAGCCCCCCCCGTCGACTTTCCTGAAGTACTCCCCCGTTGATAGAAATCAACACGTAATGAATTAAGACCCCACGGTTTGATGATTGATAGGTGTGTGTGCTGTCTTTCATTTTGACACGCAGAAAAATGTTATAATAAACATAGATACTGTATGTTAAATGGATATATCCGCCTTTTTTCATTTATCTTTCCATTCCCACAACAATATGCATAAATAAATGGCATATTTTGGACATAGTTCGAATGGTGATTAATCATGATTAATTAATTTTTAAGCTGTGATTAATCTGATTAAAAATTGTAATCGTTTGACAGCCCTAATTAAAACATGTCAGGTGATACTTTTCTAATGGTATTTTGATTATAAAACCGAAATGCGATTTTCTTTATCACCATATTTTCATGTCTTGTGCACTTCACAATCTTCACACATTGTTATCTCCCTCTCCACAGTCGCTGTGCTTCTTCATGCTGACGATGACAGTAGCTTGGCACAGAGACCTCCTTCTGACTGGCAAAGTAAGACAGACTTCAGACTACCTTCTGAGCGGATGAAAATACTCCCGAAGCAGATCACATGATTTATCAAAAGCAGGAATACCTCTCGTCCTGTCAGGCTTCAAAAGGAGCACAATAGTTCCCGGGTTATCCAATCAGTGGATTATTTATGCATGGCGTTACTTAGTGGTCCATCAATATGGCCTGCACACAACACATCAGCGTCTTTATATATATTGTCTCCTCACCGTGAGGCCTGAGTTCAAGCCTTCATGTTGGCAAGCATCTGCCCGGTGAAGTGTCCTTGGGCAGGACAGTGAATTATCTTCAGGTGCTAGCTGACCCTGACCTTTGACTTCTTTTGTAGCCGGGCTAGTTTGGGAATACATCTGTGACAACTAAATAATATCAACGTTAGTGGGACCAGTGTGTAGGATTTAGGGGGATGTATTGACAGAAATGGAATATAATATGCAGTATTATATTTCCATAATGGTAAATTCACTATATCATCTATCGTGTCACGAAACAATTATCTTAAAATTCCTGTGAGTTTATATAATTTCAAAGTCATACAGTATTGGCACTATGTTTATGCCTGATTTAGTCAATGTTATTTTGAGTGTTGAGGCAGCAAGAAAGCATGTAGCCAAACTCCCTTCAGAAAACAAGGATTTTAAGCGTTTTTTGCATTTAGTCTTGCGTACAGATCTTATTATGAATGAAATCAAACTTTTTACAAATAGGCACCATGTTGTTGTTAATTCGGCATCGTTTTAAATTTGTTTACTGCAATGCAATCCGTTTTTTGGGATCAAACCAATGCAGTAAACCAGATAAATTCAGCTGTGTGCAGGATTGCGAAAAAACACAAATGATCCTGTGATAAAACTTTGTGCATAACACAAGAAAATATATTGTATCCGCTATTTGGAAAGGGAAGGGTGAGCGGAGGGGTGCTCAGTTA